GTTCCTTAACAGCAACCTAGTCAAAGCAGACCTTCGGCAGGACCTCACTGGCAGTTACGTGTCGAAGACCGTGAAGCTGACAGCATCAGAGTCCGGCGACATCCGCCTTCGCATGCGCGAGGCTACGGGAAACAGTGCTGGAAGCTCAGAGCTACTAAGATTGAGTGAAGAACACAAGCCCCCTCATGATGGAGAATCTGAGGCCTCCTAGTGATGGAGAATCTGAGGGGAAGCCAAATGGAGAATTACATGGCATCATGGGTTTGGGGCTGATGGTTTGGCATAAGGTTCCAACCCGATTTATCATGGAACAAGCCCAAGTTGATTTGAGCCTAGGTTGGGTCCGTAGACGCATCCCAAAGGCATGCAAGGTATTGGCCACAAACTTCTACGGAAGGATTCCTCTAATCTTGTTCTGACCACCATGGTTCAGCTTGTTGAGAGGTTCAGGGCTTATGGTTGAGGCTTATGTTTTAGCCTTAGGGTTGGGGTTTTCTTAAGCAGCATCAATGCATCTTTCTAGAGGAAAACTCAAGGGAGTTCATGGGTTTTAGGGATTGTAATTGGAGGGTTTAAGGGTTAGGGTGCGGGGTTTGTTCAGTGCAGATACAGAGAGCTGCCTCTGGCGAATCTTTGAATCATGCTGTCACGAGGCCAGCCAAGGTAGCATGTAGGGCTTCTGCTGAAGGGTCATAGGATTTATCCCTGGCAAAACCATGGGGTCTCAAAGTGCTAGGGATCCCTTCCTGGGAGTCGGCAGAATAAGGATGCCCACATTTCAGCGGAGCCCCGATTATTGGAAAACACACACATGTAAGTTCCGAAGGTACTGGTGTCGCACTAAAGCTGCGCCCGCTGAGATTCCATACTTGCTCGGGCATAGCCAACAAGCTTGGGTGCAGGATCTGAGGGTATGTGAAGAGCCCATGAGTGGCAGCCTCTCTGCAAGTTAGCTGCCTGCGGTATGCGTTAATGAAAGATGCTGCCCTTTCAGTGGGCACGCCCTTCAAACTGAACTGCTGGCCTTTCCAACTAAAGCTGCGAACATGGCGTCAGGGTTTGCGTTTTAGAGGCTAGAGCAAAGAAATGCAAGATGGACATCTTGTGTTCGCGGTGGATTGTGTACTTTGGCGTTTCACAGCATAGCACGATCCTCCTCAGGCGCTCTACACTCCAAGATTGACTACAGAGCCATATGGTACTTTCCCAAAATACGGGACCCCAATATAGACCCTAATATACTATAGTTCTTATTATGGGGACCCCCAAAAAGGTCCCCCTAATTTTGGGAAACTCCCATATACTCCTCAACTGGCGGCAACCTAAAGAATCACAATATGCTACTGCTATTGCTTGGGTGCCTTGATTCACCCTCCAAGCACACATGAGAAAGAGCTACTGCCGCCTAGGAAGAGCCGAAGTTGTTCCCTACTTGAAGGCTCATGGAACTTAGCAACTGAGTACTTATAACTGGACGTAGAACCCTACTTATAAATCCCCCGACTGGACTTATGTAGGTTGCCCCAGTAAAAAGTAGGGCTACAAGGCCATTCATAAATAGCTACCGAGTCCCATGAGCCTTCAAGTAACACTTCTCCAAGGCTCCCAAGTAGCTCCTTGTAGGAAGTCTTAGCATGCTACCACCCCAACATGACACAGGAGCCTTTGGGCAACTCCCTCAAACCTTAAACCCGATGCCCTAAACCCTACTGGAGGTCTGTGGGTAGTTATGCGTGTGCATAGAATCCGCATGAGTGTAGTTCAACCTTGTATATGGGGCTCATACCCCCACTTACAACTCCCAATCAGCCTCCAGATAGAAGAGATTGTTGATCAATTGCCTATCTTCGAAACTCACGACTCAAGACCCCGCTCCCCACTTGCCGTTCGGATTGAGGAAAATCCAGCACAGGTTGTGGGACCCACATGGCCCAGGTCACATTGCATGTCAAGGATGTAAGCATCGAAGACTCCGAGTCCACCATTGCCAAGCAGGGACTGATAATCGATCCCAGCAACGCAGCCTGGCAAAATGAGATTTGGGTTTAGGGTTTAACGTTCGGGGCTTAGGGTTTAG